CACGCAGCGTCCTGGAGTTGCTGCATGCCGGCGGAAAGGGTGGCCACCTGCGCCTGTAAGGGCGAGAGGGTCACGAGTTGCGCCTGGATGGGCGCAAGGGTTGCGAGTTGCGCTTGGATGGGCGCAAGGAGGGAGGTGAGGAGGGTGTGTAGATCCCCCTGGGGCTGATGGCCCTGGTCCGCCGGCACGGGTGTGGAGCCCGATGCCGTGGTCAGCGCCGTGTCGGCGGTGTGTGAGGCACCGTCGGCCATGGGGAGATGATGGACCGGACTGGAGGGGGCCAGAAGAGGTCCGCGTGAGCGGAGGGCATAGGGGGAAGTCCGCGGTAGAAAGCGGCGAACGGCGCTAGCAAGGCTAGCACGGGCGCCGTCAAAGGGGGAGGGGTGGTTCGGGTCCAGGGTGCCCGAAGAGGACGGGGAAGTAGGGGGGTTTTGAGGAACCCTAAACCCTACAAAAACCCTAAGAAAACCCTAATCGAGGTTTAAGTGGCTAGGGTAGGGTACCGGTGACCTAATCAAGAAAGTAAAATAGCAAGCATAGGGGGCGGGAAGACGGGAGAAAAATAAATAAACAGCGAGATTTCGAGAGAAAATAAAAATAAATAAGAAAATAAATAAATAATAAAAATAATTAAGGGAATAAGTAAAGAGATGTGAAGGGAAACAATATTCATTTTTTTGAAATTTTCGACAGCATTTCCCTACCACCCACGGGGTCAAGAATGTGCCAAGGGAAAAGGAGAGACCGAGGTGTGCACACTAGAGATGCCGCAAATAAATAAAAAGAAATTTGAGAAAATAAATAAAGAAATAATAAATAAATAAATAAGTAAATAAGTGTGTGAGAAGGTGGGGAGAAATGGGTTATCTGATTTTTCAAAAATTTTGGCAGCATTTCGTTACCCCCATGGGGTCGAAGTGTGCCGAAAAGACTAAGTAAGAGAAAATCAGAAAATTTCGGCAGCACTTCGTTACCCCCACGGGGTCAAAACGTGTGCCGAAAGCAAGAAAGGCTAACACCTAATCAGATTTAGGGTTTCCGCCAAGAATTTTCAGAAAAAATAAAAATAAATCAAAAATAAGAAAAAGAGGGTGGGGAAGAAGATGAGAAAA